ATATAATGTTGGTCCTTGGTTAATTACACTTCGTCCTCATATCTTGAAACCGTTCATGGGTATAATAATATAATAAACATATTTTAAGCATTAAATGTTACTGCATAGAAAAAAATGTTAACTATCAATTACTTTTTATTCTACATTAGAGTATTGTCCTGTACGTTCATTGAGACAAAGTATCTGGGAAGCAGATGTTACCAAAGCATCGGTATTGCAAGAAAGATTACTAAACACCAGTACACCATTAGAACAACTTCGAGCCCTAAGGCAACAACGAGCAGAGTTGTTAGGATATAAAACATATGTTCATTTAAGTCTGGAAACAAAAATGGCTGAATCTATAGAGAACATTTATCATACATTCGATATCTTATTAGGAACAGGTAAAATTTTTGTAAGTTCCAATTAAAAGTGATAAATAAATATTTAAAACTTCCTCTATTGCAGCACGTCCTGCTCAAGAGTATGAACTTATGCAGCTAAACTCATTTGCAAATGAAAATGGGTTTGCAGGTACGCTTCAGTTTTGGGACATACCCTTCTGGAGCAGGAAACAATTGTTTAGTATACACAAGTAATTATGAAGTGAGCTTTATTTATGTGGGTACAGGGTAATTTTTATCTATAATACCACTTCTGGTTCCATACATTTTTTAGGTATAAAGAAGGAGATTTTAAACAATATTTTCCACTACCAAAGGTATTGTCTGGTACATTTGAATTAATTGAAAGATTATTTAATGTAAAAATCGTTGAAAGTGAAAACCTACATGTCTGGCATAACGATGTCCACTTCTTTGATGTTTTTGACTTGAATGAATCGAGTAACGAACCTGTAGGAAGTTTTTATTTAGATCCTTATGCAAGGAATAATGAAAAGGTAAAAGTACCAAACGATTCTGGTCATATAGTGCCTATAAATAGTAGAAGCAAAGTAAGCAAAACAAAACCATTAGTCGCTTTACTGTTCAACTTTCAACCACCAACTGAAGGAAAACCCTCTTTACTTTACTTCAAAGATGTTAAGGCCATTTTCCAAAAGGTAACTTCTTCACGTGTAAAATGTGCTTAATTTCTAGTATGTTTATTTTTAACTTCAATTTCTCTTATCCAGTTCGGACGCATGTTACAACACATATTGACAAAGGTAGATTATGCCGAATTATCTGGACTTACAAATGTAGAATGGGACGCAGCATACATCTCTGATCATTTCTTTGAAAATTGGTATATTTCAAATTTCTTTATTAATTTTTAATGTCGTTTCATATACATAATATTTCGCTTGTTATTAGGTTGTATGAACCATCAATTTTACACCAAATCTCTTCTCATTATGATACCAAAGAATCATTATCTGCAGAAATGATAAAAACGCTAAAAGACACAAAATTACAATTAGCTGGTTTTAACTTATGCAAGGAACTTTATTTATCGCGATTCGATCTGGAGCTACACTTTTGGTAAGATTAGATAGATTAAGTAGCAGCGAACGGTACTTTATCGAATATTTTTCTTTAATTTGTAGCGATAAATTTTGGGGTGTCATAATGAATCGCTTGTGGAACAAGCACTTTATCATGCCCCAACATAAACTGGACAGTCACATCTGCTCGTTTGAAAGTATTTTTAGTGGAAACTTTGGAGCTGCTTACTACAGGTAAAAGATGGAAGACGTATACAATTTAAAAGGTTTCAAAATCATAAAAGTGAAATAATTTTTGTTGCAGTCATATTTGGTCGCAAATGCTTGCAGCTGACTTGTACAGTATTTTTAAAGAGATATCAGTTAAAAATTCAACAAGGGACGCAATGCGAGAAATCGGTGACAGATATTATGCAACGTTTCTGTCTGTAGGAGGAAGTCAACCGATGAGTGAAACTTTCAGAAAATTCACGGGAAGAGATCCCAATCCTATAGCACTTTTACTAAATCTTGAATTAGATGATAAGTCTACTATAGTGAAATCCAGGATCTAGAAACAACAGTAAAATTCAAACTCAAGGAATAGGGAATAATTATAATAATATAAGAACTCAGTTTTTTTCTTTGTGTAAAAAATAAGGAAACATAATTTATATAAATATAAACGTTACAAAAACTCTATTTTTCATTGTTCAAGTTTATTTAATTACAACGCGACATGCGGTTGTATGTACTTATTTACAGTATTCAGTTATTTACAATAATTCTTTATGGTACATTCACGGTACTGATCCTAAATCACAAATAACGTTTTTAAGCTAGTGAATATTTGAAAGAATAAAAAAAATGCACTAATTGTAAAAGGTTTTTACATGTATTTACAAAATATTCATTTACATGTTTAAAAGTTTTTACAATTCAAATGCACGTTAAAGCTTAGAAACAGTGGAATTTCTTTAATTCATAAATATATTCCTCTTAGTTAAACCAAAGAGACTATAACGATGCAAATAAACAGGATAATTATTACTATCCAATAGCCGCACGCGCGATCTTTAAAGCTGATACTTTGTACTTGGCGCGTTTTATTAACTAACGACTCATCAGTTCTATCCATATGATCAGCTAAACTATCGATTATTTCTGCGCAAAAAATGGAAATTATCAATTTAGTTTAAAGTACTATCATTCGTAACATGTATAAATTTGAATTCAATTTACCACTCTGATGATCTACTTCATTACTGATGTTTTGACCAATTTCTTTTTGTCTTGCAATAACTTTACATAATTCTTCTAATCCTTTGTCTTGCTCTATAAAAGATTAAAATCAAATTAATAGTGAAACAAAGATAAAAAAATATACAGACCACAGTTGTACCTTGTAAAACTCTCTCCTGTTGAGATCTAATATCTTCAACAGATACTTGAACATCTATAAGCTTTTCATCATCGTCGTCAGCTGCCCAAGAGGTAGTACCACCATCTGCAAATGCAGATGCTTTGGACGTAAATAAACTGGTACGAGAAGATGCATAATTATCTGCACGAGCGTTATACAGCTTCTGCAATTGTACATCTCTACTTTGTAATACTTCTATCTGACGCATTCTCCGTTCTGCTTCCTCAATAGTTCTGTATATTTATATTTTAAGGAAAGCATTTACGTAAGATGATAACAGTATAAATCTCGGTAATGTCAAAGAGAAGGATACATAGTTTTGGATCTTGATGCATCATCCACTTTATTCTTAAGTTGTTGAACTTCTCTATTGTATTGTTTCAAAAGTATTCGTACATTTACAGATAAGCTTGCGTATGTTTGTGAAGCCTTTGGGTGTTTATTACGTGCCGTGAGTTGTTCCATGATATCCCTAAAGAGTTTCTCGCAGGCATCGTACTCCACTAACCTGTTTAAATTGAAAGATAATTACCAATCGCTAAAATTAAACTGAAATAAATCATCGCTTAACACAAGACATTATACCAAGGGTCACTGTCTTCAATGTGCACAAGTGCCATTTTTCCAATGTTACTATACACAGTTCTGATGTACAAGAAAACTATCAACAGTATATTGACATTGAATTATGATATAACGGTTGTGTAAACTTCTTAAATCATGTAAGTATGTTTAAGTATTTAACAATCCTAGACAACTCATGACACATTGTTACAAATCCAATATAATATTTGACGTAACGTCAGAAACCGATTTGTTGGTGTCATATGTACTTCAAAGTACTATTTCGTACGCAATACAGCCAACCGTACAATAATTCAATAATCCTCTCTATCCGTTAACTGATATGAATCGCTCGTAAAAAAAAATAATCTATAATCGAGCGTAAGCACGTCAGACGGAAAAAAGGATAACACGAAATTTCAGGGAAAAATGTATGCAAGCGAGTACACAGACGACAGTATACGGTTACAACTTCCAATGAACGATTTATCGTGAAGAATGTAGCAACGCAGCTGAGGTAAGCGCATGCGTTCACGATGTTAATTAAAGAGGATCATAGGAGGGGATTTCGCCTGGAAGAGAAGGGAAAAAAGAGATCGTCCGTGAGCGTGAAACAAAGAGAAGCAAACGGAAGATTTACGGGTGGAACGGAGAGAGGTATATGGTGGTAGTGGTGAGACCAGTTATATTTTTATTGTCGACTGGCATATTTCGCGAAGCTGGTCGCAACGAATGTGTGTTTGACGTATCGAGGAGGGAACGAAAAGAGATGCCTGAAAATGTCGGGTAAAAGTGAAACTCGGTGATCAAAGCTGGATGGGATAGACAGTGAAGGGAAGTGAATTTCGGTGGATTTATTCGCATTATCTCTCGGAAGGTCACGACCATTGCGTTGGTAGCTGGTTAATTGAAAGTGGGGAATCTCCGAGAAGCTCGATCGTGCAGGTCAGCGCGTTACGGTGCGACACGAAGGGAAAAGGAGTACACGTACTACGAGTTACGTCGGCGAACGAACGCGTATATGCTGGATACCTTGCGAAAACATCCGCGAATGGAGCACGGGTGCGTCCACGAGACGAAATTTTGCGCACAAACGGAGTATCGTTGTTATTGTTGTGCATATATTGATTTTTAACAAGCGAATCGTATTCTTTCGACGTTCGCTCTCTGTGCCATCGTAAACACGTTGTCACATTACACCTCGACTCCTTTTGTGACCGTGACTAAAATGGACTCCTTCGACGCTCACGATTATCTTTCTTTTCATTTGAATACACTAAGCTGTTACTGTTATCTGCAACACTGATTTTCCTCAGATTAAAGTATGACTAGTACCGTGGCTACGGAACCATCCACGACTGTCAAGTTTTTGGTAGACGGAATGACATCCACGACTACTGTCACTGCGTTTTCCAAGGAGGAACCAGCACCGATATTCTTGCAGACTAAAGCTGCTCAAGTTATCGCTGGTGTGTTCGTTTGGATCGCTCTGTTCTTAACATGTCAACAGGTATTTCATCGTGATGCGTTAGTAACGCGTCACTTGTTGGTAATGTAAGGAATGCATGTTCTTATCTTGATTTCAATGGTTCTTTTTTTTAGATTTATCAGCACTTGAGGTGGTACACCAATCCAACAGAACAGAGATGGATAGTGAGGATTCTGTTTATAGTCCCAATATACGCAACTTATTCTTGGGTCTCTCTACTATTTTTTAACAGTGAAAGCTATTATGTTTATTTCTTCACTGTACGAGACTGTTATGAAGCATTTGTTATATATAACTTTTTGTCTTTATGCTACGAGTACCTGGGAGGTGAAGGAAATATTATGTCTGAAATACGTGGCAAACCTATTCGTTCCAATTGCCTATATGGAACATGCTGCCTAGTTGGGAAAACGTATACCATCGGCTTTCTTAGATTTTGCAAGCAAGCCACATTACAATTTTGCTTGGTGAAGCCGGTAATGGCATTCGTCATTATATTCCTTCAAGCATTTGGACATTACAGAGATGGAGATTGGTCTCCAGATGGAGGCTATATTTATATAACTATAATTTATAATATCAGCGTGTCTCTTGCCCTCTATGGACTTTTCCTGTTCTACTTCGCTACAAGAGACCTGTTAACTCCATTTGAGCCTGTTTTAAAATTTTGTACTGTCAAGAGTGTTATCTTCCTCTCATTCTGGCAAGGTAATATTTCGAATTATGCGAGATTTCGTGTACCTTCTTGTTGTAAATCAATGTTATTTCTTTTAGGAGTTTTACTAGCAATCCTTGAAAAGGCAAATGTAATTTCACCTATAACCTTAGGCCAGACAACCAGTGCAGGCACAGTGTCTGCTGGTTACCAAAATTTTTTGATTTGCATTGAAATGTTATTTGCTGCTATAGCTTTACGTTATGCATTTCCTTATCAAGTATATTCAGCTGGTTGCGTTACTGATTCGAGAGGAAGAAGTGTAACAATGCAAAGCATTAGCAGCAGTCTAAAGGTATTTATGATTCTGTAGTTGAATTTTTATTTAAAAAATCGGTCGAACAAAGGAATAATTTGTTTAATGTTAATTTCACATAGGAAACCATGAATCCAAAAGACATAATGACTGATGCCATTCACAATTTTCATCCACAGTATCAACAGTACACTCAGTATAGTTCTGGTATGTATAATTAACTTTCTTGCAAGGAGTTTGTTTTAATAAACATTGCCTTTGAAATTCTTTTCATTACTTATTTTCTTAATCGATATAATTTTCATATAGCATGATGTAGCAAATGATGAAATCTAAAATTATCTGTATCTTATTTTGTTCATTTATATTTTTTTTCTTCGAATTTCTCTATACTCCACAAATACGATAAGTGAAAGAAAGGCAGAAAGATATAATCAGACATTTGAAATCCGTTACGAATGTTTCATCCGAATTTAAACAAAGTAAATGATTGTATTGAATTTTTTGTATAATGGGTTATACTTTTATCTTTCAACGTATACTTCATTGGTAACCACCGATACTTGTAAAATATATTTGCCTATACTTGAACGTTACACTCGAATTTGAAGAAAGTAGTTTCTTAAAAGAAAAATTATTTCCATTGTGATATCAGTTTACATGTGCCAATTAGGATGAAATTCTTTGAAGGCACTTTCTTTTTATTATTTTTCAGACGTTAATACCAACTTGCCGTATGAAAAACTATGAGAGTCCGAGGCGTCACTTTTTTAATTACAAGAAATTGGACATCAGGCATTTATACAGTTTAAACGAAGATTGAAAAATTCTTAATGTTATATTATTATTTCTTAAAAGCTAATTTTACAAATTTACTTGATGTTTTAAGTTCGAATGAAGTTGCAGGGTGGGCAAAGAATTCTCTGCTCAAATTATGATTTAAGGTTTACATTAAATATCTGTATACGTATATACCTATATGCATACACATATATAAATATATAAGCATATGATTCAATCATTTTTAAAATTAACGAAATCTACTGTACAATAGAAATTAAGCACTTAACACGAGAGCACTTAGAGTACAGTGTAATTTCATAAAAGATTTTGCTTTCTAATAAATGCAGAACAGAAATAACAATTGAGTACTATTCTATAACAGTATTGCAATTAATCATTTTAACAGTACATCGAAAATAATTTAAAAAAAAACATATAGTATTATTTTATAATGCCTTTTTGAGAATCAAAAAAACGAATGGCATGTAAACATGGACAACCA